CCCATAAATGCATTTTTTAAATGCTATGGGTGGCCAGGCACGGTGGCTCACATCTGTAATCCCAGCACTTGGGGAGGCCGAGGTGGGTGGATCACTTGAGGTCAGGAGTTGGAGAAGAGCCTGGCCAACACGGCGAAATGTTATCTCTATTAAAAATATAAAAATCAGCCAGGCGTCGTGGCGCACACCCGTAGTCCAGCTACTGGGAAGGCTGAGGCAGGAGAATGGCTTGAACCTGGGAGAAGAAGTCTGAAGTGAGCCACGATCGTGCCACTGCACTCCAGCCTGGTGACACAGCAAGACTCTCTCTAAAAAAATAATAATAACTTTAAAAAATGCTATGGGTAACAGGAGATGAGGCACACAAATGTCCAGTGGTGTGCTGGAGCTGCTTCACACTGGCTCTCTAGAGATAATTATTAAATTTTCAGGAATTTGAGAACTGGTTGCTAAACAGCCATTATTAAAAATTCAGTTATACTAACATACAATTAGGTAAAGGTAATAAGTACTCAAGACTTATTTCTTCCTAGTTATTTTACATTTTACTACTATCCATGCTCAGCTATACGGGGCTGTGTGTCTCTTCCCAACTCTGCTTCAGTGATGTCATTTTAGTGATCCAAAATCAGCCATGTGACAGTGTTTACACCGTGGGAACTGGCAATGCTGCCAGCCAGGGCTTCCATGTCTGGAAACTGAATGGTGTACCTTTATAGCACACCAAGAACCAAACCACTGGCCCATGAAAACATTTGAAGGTCTGAAGCAAATGTTTACTTGGAAGATGAATAGGTTAAAATGTACAGAAACATGTCAGCCAGGCATGGTAGCTCACACCTGTAATCCCAGCACTTTGGGAGGCTGAGGCAGGCGGATCACCTGAGGTCGGGAGTTTGAGACCAGCCTGACTAACATGGAGAAACCCCGTCTCTATTAAAAACACAACATTAGCCAGGCATGGTGGTGCATGCCTGTAATCTCAGCTACTTGGGAGGCTGAGGCAGGAGAATCACTTGAACCCAGGAGGTGGAGGTTGCGATGAGCCAAGATCATGCCATTGCACTCCAGCCTGGGCAACAAGAGTGGAACTCTGTCTCAAAAAAAAAAAAAAAAAAAAAAGTATGAAAACATGTCTTTAAGAAATCCTTCTCAAAATCGTGTAAGGGTTGAAGGCAATTTTTTCTCAACCTAAAGCTACAGTTGTTCTACAACATGGCTTTCATAACAAATATCAGTTACTAGTGCCCATCATTTATAGGACAACCTGTACACCATTACTTCTAGAAAAAAACAAATGTGTTGACTAGATTATGATACAAATTCTGAAGAGTGGGAGAGATCCCCTTCCTCTCTCCCTTTCAAACTTCTGCAAAGAGGAGCTTATTCTCAATCTATGTTTTCTCACCTCATCAGGCTTGGTTTCTGCCTCCACCATTTGACTGAAACCGCTTGAAGGTAACCCTTGACCTCCTTACTGCTAAATTCAATGGATTCTTTTGAGTCCTCAGTTCTACGGGCTCTCTGGTTTATTTCTGCCTCCTCCATTAGACTGAGTTAACAGAACAGAAATCCTACCTTCCATACTAGGCTTAGCCTAGCACAGTGTCTGAGGCCTCCTAGATGCTCAGCAATTGTTTGCTCAGTGGCTGGAAATGTAATCTCTGTAACCTTGGGCATGCCACCTCGCTTCCATGGATGTCTGTTTTCTCAGACATGAAAAGAAGATGAATCATGTGGGACCCCTTTTTTTTCCTTCGGTTTGTTGAGACTCAACTTTAAGGGTCTTGCAGGGGCTAAAACTCTCCCCCAGCCTGTGTTTTTTTTTTTTTTTTTGAGATGGAGTCTTGCTCTGTCACCCAGGCTGGAGTGCAGTGGCGTGATCTCGGCTCACTGCAATCTCTGCCTCCCAGGTTCAAGAGATTCTCCTGCCTTAGCCTCCCAAGTAGCTGGGACTACAGGCACACGCCACCATGCCCAGCTAATTTTTGTATTTTTACTAGAGACGGGGTTTCACCACGCTGGCCAGGCTGGTCTCAAACTCCTGACCTTGTGATCCGCCCACCTTGGCCTCCCAAAGTCCTAGAGTTATAGACATAAGCCACCGAGACCAGCCAACATTCCCTATTTCAAGTGAGCGTTATAAGTGGATGTGTCCACTTTATTACCAGGCAAACTCCTGGATTTTCACCTTCTCTTTGGTCCTTGGGTCTAAGCTCCAAAGCTATCCTTTTGCCTTCTGTTGTTTCTTGGCTCAGAGTCAGGCTGAGTGACCTTGAGGAAGTTACATAGCCATCTTCCCAAGCTATACAGTTGGAATGAATGGGAGCTGTGCAAGATAAGCTGGCAAATGTTGAGAACTCCTGTGAGATCTGTAAACTGCAGTTACTGGAGCTACATCCCCAAACCTGAGTTACACATATTTTATCTTCATAACATTTCTCCCCTGGAGTTGATCCCCTTCAACTCCTTCATCATTTCGGTTTCTTGTACTGAATTCCCTCAAGTCTAAAATTCTTTTTTTCCCTAGAGCTGCAGAAATCAAGACCAAATAGTATCCAGATGCCACTTTCTACTCCAGCACTATAGGATTTACAGAGGGGGAGGGATCATCTTGCTAACGGCTCAGCGGCATTAAGATCCCATCAGTCAACAACATTCAAGTTCCTGTTCTCATCCCGAGGTCAAAGCTTCTGGTTCTCCCAGCTCATTATCCCAAATACTGATTGTCCTACATTTGCTTTCTTGCTCACTGTCTCCATGAGGTGTCCACCTATTGGGTCAAAGGCCCCAACATGGCATGGTCACCTCTGAAATTAAAAGAAGAAAATGCATTCACCTTGCGCATACACGTACATAAAGAGCAGTCCAACGATACTCACCTGAATGTTAGATTAGTCAGCAAGCCATTAGAAATGAATCTAAATGATGTAGGGCAGAGTTCAGTGACAAGTCATGAGATAAAGGAAACACACAGGGCTCAAGCTGATTAAAAAGATAATTAGTTGTGGAAAATAAGGTTGGGTTCCAGCCAAGAACTTGTCTTTGACAAAGATAAACCAAAGGCTTTGATACAGTCATTTTGGGGGATATTTAGTTGTTCTTTTATAGGAGTTGAAGAGCAAGAACAAAGCAATAGTCAGTTTCAAAGTGCAGCTCAACTCCCCCTCTGTTTGTTGTTCTGCTCATAAACATACAAGCTATTTCCTTTCATCTGCACAGGCTCATACAATATGGAGATCCCACAATAGATTTATACCAGATTTAAAGATGAATGTGCAGAGCTGTGGTCAAGCCAGAGATCTTCTGGCCTAAGAAAGATCTCAATGTCCCTGGCTGGAATTAAAAAACAAAAAAACAAAACACACACACACACACACACACAAAAATAAGAGAAAGCTCTTCAAGACCAAAAAGGCTTTAACAGTGAAAAGGAAAAGAGGAGCATCTCTTACCCAAATTGTTAAAACCCACAAAGATGCTTGAGATGTCTAGTAACAATGCAAAGAGCTTTAATCTTTACATAGGGAATGGGGAAAATTTTCCATAGGTGGTCGGATGTATGGGGGGAGCTGACAACACAGGGAAAGGGGAGATGCTCATGATGCCAGATACTCTATGTGGACCTGAAACTGCAACTCCAATGGTTCTGCGAAACTACTTGCCTGAAATACTGTTTTGATAAATAAGCCATATCCTTGTGGAATTGAAATCTCCAACTGTTTCACTGGCACGGACATCTCTGCAGTGACAGCTCATGCCCCAGATTGTGGAGTTAACTTGAATTAAATTTCAGATGTGGGGGAGCTAAGGGAGGGGGGTGGTGGCAGTGGGAGGTTTATGAACAGTATGCTGGGGCTCTGATGTTGTCATAACCAGATGGCTTCAACTGTATCATTTAAAACAAAAACAAACATGCCCAGAAAGAATGAAATAATGACAGGAGCATCAAGTAGCTTTACCTGTACCTGAAATCCCAACAGCTTTGTACCCACAGTAAAGCCCAAGTTGGAAATTCCATAAATACTGAAGATCCCAGAAGAGACCTTCGTCCTGACAGAAGCGAGGTGCCAGGACTGCTATCCTCCTGAGGGCACAGTCCCTGAACTCACCAGCCTCTCAACCTACAGCTGTCTGTGAATGAAGAGGAAAGCAAATCTGAAGCCTGGTTTGTCCTTCTGGAACCTCTGAAGAACAGGCCAGCAGAGGCACCTTTCCAGAGCTTTGTTCTTGCTATTCCCACAGGAAGGAAGCTTTACTTTCAGTTTTGTACCTAAACATTTCAGAAATGGAACTTCCTCCAGTTAATTACATAATCTTCAGGATACTCCATTAGAAGATCTGGCATTCAATAGTTGTGTGATCTGAGGCATGTCCCTTCTCTGGGTTTCTGCTTCTCTCATCTACACAGTGGGAAGATGCCGTGTCTCACCTGTCCTACCAAGTTCGTCAAGTTATTCGGAAGTTCAGATGAAATATTGTATACAAATTTAGCTGGAAAAACCTAAGACGATATGGGTAGAGGAGACTTTCGAGTTCGCCTGGATCCCTGGACTTGTGTGCTGATCTGGAAAGCTAGGAAGGAGGAGGCGCAGGACAGCAGCCAGCAGCCAGCACATGTAGAACTGGGTACTTCCTCACACAGGGGACACTTCCCAAGGGAAACTGGGAAGTGCAATGGAATGGTTTCCAATAAACTAATCCTGCCTTTGATTATATTAGTAACAGATCATATTTATCCATTCTAGAGGCAGTAAGATAAATGAAAGTTGGAAAATGTATAAAATCTAAGGTCCACTGAAGGGAACTGGAAGGTGAAATAGGTTGAGGTTCCATCAAAGGTAAAAAATACACACGCTGGCCAAATAGCTGATGCATTCTTCAATATATCCCACTGTCCTAACAGAGCCACAAAAAAGGCAGACAGGGAGCCCCAGAAGATTTTTGTGAGCTCAGATACTAGCTTTTCTGGAAACACATCAAGTCAATGACAGAACCAGTTAGAGACAATAATTTCCCTTTATTTAATCTCCACATTTATGTCCCCTGGATCTTTTTGTATTTAATTAGGAGAAGGGAGGTGGGGATTAGGTCTTAAAACATACAGGGTGCAGAAAAGCCCACTACCATGACTTGCCTTGGCACAGGTAGGGGCCTGATCCCTCATCAGGATATGGACTGTGAGATACTCAGGGAGGACAAGAGACTGGCAGATGCTGATAGCTCACAAAGAAAACTTGAAATTACGGAGTCTCAACAAATCCCTACGGCTCATTAGACATTTCAAACATAATCTCTGCAAGCTGAAAACTAGGACTTCAAAATCCCTTAAGCAAGGGACTCAGACCCAAGAGACAAGGCAGGTGAGTGAAACAAAAGACCAGAGATACCACACAGTACAAAATAGTAATTATTTATATTTTCAAAAAGAAAAAATTAACATTTGGAAGTTCTCCCCTGGAGGAAGAGGGGCTAGTCAGAAGGAACAGAACTGGCTCCTATGCAGGCGGCAAGTCAGGTACAAACAGCTGAGCAATCTGGGCTGGGATTTTATCACACAGCATCTTTAATTAATAAAATTTCCTTCTCTCTTCTCTTCTTTTGTTCTGTTTTTGTTTTGTGTGTTTTTTTGTTTGTTTGTTTTTTAGAAAAAGGGGCGGGGGAGAAGAAATAAAATCAGAGAAAAATGCCCAAAAACATTTTCCACAATATCTAAAAACAGAGAACCATAGTTCTTGTCAAGACAGTATGAATTCTGGATGAGTTATTTTTTTCCAGTTTTCAACACCAATAAAGATTTTTGCAAAAGCCACCACATCAGAACACTCATCTTCCAGATCAAATAACCTTCCCCTTTTGCCTTCACTTGTCATTTTTCATAAAAGGATAAAAGGATGCATTCTGTTCTTGCAAACAGTAAGTGCTAATAACAAGAGAGCTCTTCTGATGCTTGTATGGTGGTGAGTTTTCACAAATATCCAAGTTTTAGCACAGTTGGAAGGACTAAAATTTGTTTCTCTCAATATAAATACTACTGGAATCCACAAACTGATTTTTGAGAAATTCTGCAAAAATCTTTTCTTCTTTCCTTTTCCCTTCTGTTAAAACTCAATGTCCTTTCTTTTTTTTTTCCTTTTTGCTCCAGGCACCTGACGATTTATTCTGCTCAGTCAGATGCAGACAGGTTTCTCCGAAGTACCACCGCTGGGATGTCCTCGGGCCAGCGCCTAAACTGAATCCCCACAGTATCAAACTCGGCCAGGCCAAAGGGAACACAGTGACGCAGCAACAGGGTTTTCATTAGGTTGAACAGCCCCGAGTCCTGGGCCCTTCCCTCCCCCCATTTCCCCCAAGTTATTTAGTGCTGTTTTAAAAGTCTGGGGCCACAATGCAGTCTCTTCCCCTCACAACAGAGTAAAAGCTCCACAGATTGCGCTGTCTACCTGGTGGTCAGTGGCAGCAACAGTGGCTGCTGCTTCTGGAAATTAAACGGAGTCTTACAACAAGCAGGATCTTAGGATTGCTTCAGGCGTTTGCGTGGGGGTCCCAGAAAAGGGCACTGTGCTGAAGCCAGAGAGCGGTATGCCTCAGCCACCAAGTGGGGATGTGACACCACCATTGACTTCCACCCAGAGGTCTCCAAGACATCCGAAGCATGACTAGGAGAAATGTGGAGAAATGGGTTACCAAAGGGAGTGAGCAAGGGATAAATTCAACAGCCACCTAGATAGCCTAATTTTCCAGTGTTAGGTATAAAGTGTGTCAATGCAAGAAACAGACAGAGCCCTTAATATGCATGAGAATTTGCTTGTTAGACAATGCGCAGACTGGTGACTTGCCTGTGGCTGTCGTCATCTGAAAACCAGGACTTTGAGCCACTATATTCTCAAAAACAAAAAGCGGAATGTTCCCCAGGCCCTCAACACTGCCTATGTTCCTTATATTCACCGGTGATGCCCATCATAAAAAGGAGCATGGGCTCCCTCAGCCAGAAGCCCTGAGCTTCTGCCTGGCTTTGCCACTCACCAGCCTTTAACCACAGGGCAGATCAGAGCCCGGGGCCTAGGTGATTATCAAAAAAGAGGAGAGGATAATCATATTTCATTCAATGGTTAATATCTCAAAAGCACCAAGCAAATTGTCCAGCACACAGTAAGCACTCAAAGGAACTCACACTGATGGGTCTCTCCCCTCCTTCTTCTGCCTCACTTGATCACTCCTTAGAAAATAATTCTACAACTAGACCTAGAGGATGTTATTTCCTGTCTCTGGGAATTTTCTATGTTGAATATTGTTCACTCAATCATCTGGAATGTCTCAGACCTGTCTTGCCCCAGAACTGCTGTTGTGAGGGCTTTTCTTCTTCGGGTTTTTCCCAGCTTTTGCTCTCTCCATGGGGCAAGGGATAGAACATGTCCCACTGAGAAGATAGGTTGTAGTTACAATTCATCTTTCATATTATTATTCATATTATTTCATATTATTATTTCAGAAAGTAGTATTGCCAGGTCATTTGTCACTTAAGATGAAGGAACAGACCTAGTGGAATGAACATTTCTTTCTCAAAACAGTGTTATGAAACCAGCTCCTGATGATCCCTTCTCTTTTCCTCATTCTATAACTGAACGTGAGGTACATTTTACCAACTCATAAACATATCTCTATCCTCCTAGAAATCTACATGTCTTTTATTAAGTCACTGAGTGTGAAGTAAAGATACTATAATTTGGGGCACACAGCTTTTTCAGGCAAGTTATTTTCATCACTTTGATTCACTATGAGGAAGTAAAACACTTTACTCACCAATAGGATTCAACCCATGAAGGTAAAACCATTTTCCATACAGTCAATTGAAGGAGAAGATGAAAGCTCTATACTTACTGCCAAAAGGTTAATGAAGCTACTTGCCTGCTTTACCCACTAATTCAAAGTCTTTCTCATTTCTTCAGCTATCCAACTATTCTGAAAGAAGAACTTTGAAGATGCCAACTCACTAGTTGATGAAATCCACTGCCTGAGTTTTCAACTGATCTGCGCTGTGGAGGTCAGCCAGGATGAGAATTTCTGCAGCATTCTCCACGGACAGGTTACTGCAGAGGGCATCCTCACACATGACCTTTAAACGCTCCAGGGCATACTGTAAAACACAAGCACTGCTGTCGTCAGAGCAGCAACAGCTCTGGGCTGACCACTACTGAAGCTGTTTTCTTTAGCTGTACCATCATATTAACTAGATACTTGAACAGAACTGCACAGACCATGAAAAGCTACTACTGCAATGATAAAACATAACCATATTCTTAAGGTTAGATGTTTAAGCTTGAAACGTAAACAGCTAAAATAACTTGGAAAGCTGCCATTAGAGTTCTAAAGTCTACCTATTAGAAAAATGGCAATTACAGGGTAGATCTGCATCCTGAAGTTTACTCTCCTCCAGTCTGTGATGAAAGTTGTTCTTAAAACTTTACCACTTAATGATTACAGTGAGGCATCAGTCTACTTCAAGTCAACAGGGACATTACTGCAATCCCCTTATTTAGAGCCAGAAGAGGGTGAAGCACAGTCCTTTTGACTTAAGCATTGTCACTAGCCCAGCAGGATATGCCAACTGACCCATCAGGCTGTGAAAAGAAGCCTGTGGTGACTTTTACCAGCACCTCTGCCACTAGTTGTTTCTGAATGAGGGTCAACTAAAGGCCTCCTTTTAAATAGAGAAGGATAAATAGAGTCTTATTTTATTGGGGTTCAGGTTAAGCTTCTCAGGGTAAACGGACAAAGTGGCAGAGAGTCTAATGCAGTTTCAGTTTAAAAATTTGTATTTTCTAAGAAAAGGGCATAACTGTTCTTGAAATGGAAAGCCTGGGTTAATGCTGGGCACATCTGATCTACTTGATTGGTTCTGATACAACTCTACCACTTGTTCTCTAATATGAGATTATGAACTTACTAGGAACTTCAGGGATAGGAAAGAGGAAGGAAATACAAGGAGGCACAAAATAAAATGTCATTAATCAGTTCACAGGAAAACAGCTTGCTTTGAGGCTATGCACAGTCTCCTTATAGGCCCCAGCTTGAAGGCCCCAGAACTCAATGACACAATGCCCCTTCAGGGTGAATCATGGCAATCAAACCAGGACAATTTCATTGTTATCAATTCTGGGTAAGGAGGCAAATCTGCTGGCACTGTGATCTCCTGCAGCAAAAAGAGAGGTTTTATTGGTTTTGGTGCAGCTTTTTTACATTTGAGTAACTGGAAAACAGTTTCCATGGAAAACAGGAATGACATTAGATAAGCAAGAAAGGAAGTTGCCGTTTTTGTTTTAAAAGGCTGGAAAAAAGGTTTAGTAAATGTTCAGTTTTTTATACAGTGCTGCCCAGACAATTCCTCTTATCCTTTCTCAATACATTCTTTTAAAAGGACTTTTACTGTGAATAGCTCTGATCCCTACTGCATAATTAGACAAAAGTAGCCATTCTTGTCCCTTGGGGACAAAGTTTTTTCTTAATTATGCTTCTGAAAAACCTGCCTAATGGCAGTACTTACCCAAGAGATGGAAATTGTGTCTCCCAGGCCTGAGGAGTTTTGTTTTGTTTTTGGTCTAATTACACATGTCCCCAGGAGACTGGAAAAGCTTAGAAGAAGCTGTTTCAGCCTCTTGGGTAAATTCTAGATGTTTAGATCATTCCATGAAAGATTTCTTATTCTGTTTTCCTAAAACTCACAAAGAGGTGTAAAGGTAAAAATGTTTTCAAATAGGCTTGGAGCAAAAACTGTCTAGTGGGAAATTCTGAATGGAATTTGAAAATGCACCCTTCAATTACTTCTCATTCATAAATTTAAAGCACTGCTGTGATTCAACAGCTTTATCTTTTAAAACCACAAGTTAACACATTGTGCTGAAATGCTATCCTTGAAATGGCAGTTCAGGCTGATCACCATGCCCTGTGTCCTTACAGTAGGTTACCAGTAGGTTTTCCAGCTAGGGAGCAAGAATGAAAACTCAGGGACACAGCAGAAGTTTAATCTTGGCTCTGCGGATATACAACTCTGAGCCTTAGTATTTCTGTCTAAAAAGTGGGCCTTGCAATACTTATCCTTATGGAATCTAGAAGATGAGAGGATAAACACCTGAAGTGTATAAGCACAAGCGACTACTTCATTAAAAATCAGAGCACAGATCAGGCAAAATCATAATTAACTTTATAAAAGGCAGGTATTGGATTATGTCTTCTACTTTCCCAGAGCTTGCAGTGAATATTTTCTTACTGTCTCCATTAAAAGCAAGTTTCCCTTGGTCAGAATTGAGGTAGACTGGAAGGGTATGGAATTTTCACATTGCTTAATTGTACTCATAAAGTCTTGAAAAGTGACAAGAAGGATACGGTTACTATTCCAATCTTCTTCATCAAGAGCACTGATTGCATTTACTTATCCCATCCTCTACATACACTCCAAAAAGCCGGTCAATAAAGCTAAACCTCCACTATAAACACAGGCACTTTCCTCTGTCCTCAGGCACAAAGGGAGGTAGACTATCCCATGAGCAAACACTAGAAGGCTCTTGTGTCCTTAGACCAGAACCCACTTTTCCCACCAATGGGTATTGCAGCATCACGGCAGGAAGAGGGGGTGCTTTCAGCAGAGAACCTTCTTTCTCACAGAGTCTACTGCTGGCAGGGTCTACACCCTTTTCCCACCCTCACGCCAACTCCACTTGTCCCCCAACACAGGAAAAGCTCCCACAGGGTAAACACCAATTCTTTCACCCTTCCCCACAGGTCATGTGTCCACAGACTGCAGGGCCTAGAAGGGTATTGAGTTCTCTCTCTGATGTACCTACACAATGAAAGTCCGTTTCCCAATGTGTGTTTCGGGGACCACTAACGTTTTTTTGTTTTGTTTTGTTTTGTTTTTGTTTGTTTCGTTTTGTTTTGAGACGGAGTCTCGCTCTGTCACCCAGGCTGGAGTGCAGTGGCGCAATCTCGGCTCACTGCAAGCTCCGCCTCCTAGGTTCACACCATTCTCCTGCCTCAGCCTCCTGAGTAGCTGGGACTACAGGCGCCCGCCACCATAGTTGGCTAATTGTTTTTTGTTTGTTTGGCTAACTTTTTTGTTTATTTGTCTGTATTTTTTAGTAGAGACAGGGTTTCACTGTGTTAGCCAGGATGGTCTCAATCTCCTGACCTCGTGATCCGCTTGCTTCGGCCTCCCAAAGTGCTGAGATAATAGGCGTGAGCCACCGCGCCCGGCCGCTGACCACTAATCTTGCAGGTGATCCTTGAGAAAAAGGATTCCAGGGTTCACTAAATTGGAGAAATGCTGTCTATCATAATTCCTGTTAGAAAATTCACAGTAACATTAATATGCTACAGGTTCTGAGAAATCCTGCAGTAAGACAGCAACCATTTGTCTTGGTTAAACTCAGTATTTTTCATAAGCCTTTCCCACCAACCTAATATCTGTTGACATTTCACCTTATTTTGGGAATCACTGACCAAATTATTTTAGGTAATCATCATATGTCTTTGATTCTAAGATCTGCGTTTTTATTTTCACACTTTAACACTTCTCAAATTGAAATGTGTCTTATGAAGTATAATTTATTCTACTATTAAGCTATTAATTCTCTCATAATTTTGAAGAAATACTTTCTATTTCGATAACTACTTAGGTAAAAGCTGAAAGTGCTAACCAGGACACTAGGTAAAAGATTACAGCCATGCCTCAGTATCCTTAGGGGACTGGCTGGGTCCAGCGGCCCCAAATACAAAAATCTGTGAATGCTCAAGTCCCTTATATAAACTGACAGTATTGGCCAGGCATGGAGACTTACACTCATAATCCCAGCACTTTGGGAGGCTGAGGTGGTCAGACCACTTGAGATCAGGAGTTCGAGACCAGCCTGGCCAACATGGTGAAACTCTGTCTCTACTACATGTACAAAAATTAGCTGGGTATGGTGGTGCATGCCTGTAATCTCAGCTACCCGGGAGGCTGAGGCAGGAAAACTGCTTGAACCTGGGAGGCAGAGGTTGCAGTGAGCTGAGATTGTGCCACTGCACTCCAGCCTGGGCAACAGAGTGAGGCTCCATCTCAAAAATTAAATAAATAGACCAGATGCGGTGGCTCACAGCTGTAATCCTAGCACTTTGGGAGGCCGAGGTGGGTGGATCATCCGAGGTCAGGAGTTTGAGATCAGCCTGACCAACATGGCGAAACCCCATCTCCACTTAAAATACAAAAATTAGATGGGTGTGGTGACGGGTGCCTGTAATCCCAGCTATTCGGGAGGCTGAGGCAGGAGAATCACTTGAACACGGGAGGCAGAGGTTGCAGTGAGCCGAGATTGTGCCATTGCACTCCAGCCTGGGTGACAAGAGCAAGACTCTCTTCTCAAAAAAAAAAAAAAAAGAAGTAAACAGACAGTATTGGCCTGTATCGTTATGTACATCCTCCTGTATACTTTAAATTAGCCCTATATTATCTATACTAACTGATACAATATAAATGCTATGTAAATAGTTGTTATACTATTTTGGTTTTTTATTTGTATTATTTTTTATTTATTTTTTTGAAACAAGGTCTCGTTCTGTCACCCAGGTTGGAGTGCAATGGTGCAATCATGGCTCATTGTGGCCTCAACCTCCTGGGCTCAAGTGATCGTCCCACCTCAGCTTCTAAAGTAGCTGGGACTATGGGCGTGCACCACCACACCTGGCTAAATTTTTTAATTTTTATTTTTGTAGGGATGGAATCTATGTTGCCCAGGCTGGTCTTGAACTCCTGGGCTCAAGCAACCCTTCCTCCTTGGCCTCCCCAAGTTCTGGGATTATAGGCTGAAAGCACCACGCATCCAGCACCACTGTGCCCAGCCTGTTTTTTCTTGTTTCTTTTTTTTCTTTTCTTTTCTTTTTTTTTTTGGAGACAGTCTTGTTCTGTTGCCCAGGCTGGAGTGTGGCACGATCTCAGCTCATTGCAACCTCTGCCTCCTGGGTTCAAGCAATTCTCTTGCCTCAGCCTCCCGAGTAGCTGGGACTACAAGCACGCACCACCACGCCTGGCAAATTTTTGTATTTTTTAGTAGTCATGGGGTTTCGCCACGTTGCCCAGGCTGGTCTCGAACTCCTGAGCTTAGGTGATCCACCTGCCTCGGCCTCCCATAAGTGCTAGGATTACACAGCGAGCCACTGTGCCTGGCCTCTTGTTTCTTTTTTCTCAGATATTTGTGATCTGAGGTTGGTTGGGTCCACATGGATCCAAAGAGCTGTTTTACTGATAAAGTTTAAATACGTTAATAAACTCAAAAACATTTTTGCAAATTATAAAGCACAATCCAAACGTATTTTGAATCTTTACAATCACTGTGGTTAAATTTGAGATGGAAAAAAGAGGAGAGGTAAATGTCAAACTTATCCTTCTTTCCCATAGTTAGGTGACCATATAGTTTACTATTCAAAACAGGACATTTTTGAGAATAAAAAGTGTGCTATTAATAATTGTGTTGGAATAATATGTGTAAACCAGGACTGTCTTGGCCAAACCAAATATGCTCATTTTACCCACAATGCAATATAGAAGCCTGTTCACGAAACTCAAGAAGTCACAATAACTCCTAGTCCTGATTATTTTTCTATTCTTATCTTACCTTGTCAGCAGCTGCCAACAAATCATCAGCCATTTTGTCGAGGTTTGGAGCCTTCCCCGTGTATATGAAGCACATCATTTCCTTAAAAACTTCAGGCTCCACATCATTGATTTCAACTCGATTCTATGCCAGAAAAACTGAATATGAGAAACATTCCAACAGAACAAAATCCCTAAACTAAACTATTTTCATGATTTTAAGCTCTCGTGAGGAGAGAACCTTGTATCATTTAAAACCTAACATTAATGGGCCGGACACGGTGGCTCACGCCTGTAATCCCAGCACTCTGGGAGGTCGAGGCAGGTGAATCACGAGGTCAGGAGATCGATACCATCCTGGCTAACATGGTGAAATCCTGTCTCTACTAAAAATACAAAAAAAATTAGCCAGGCGTGGTGGCGGGCACCTGTAGTCCCAGCTACTCGGGAGGCTGAGGCAGGAGAATGGCGTGAACCCGGGAGGCGGAGTTTGCAGTGAGCCGAGATCACACCACTGCGCTCCAACCTGGGTGACAAAGCAAGACTCTGTCTCAAAAAAAAAAAAAAACCCACCATTAAGGGAAAATTTCTTTGCCCAGCTTGATTATAACAGTCTTTTTGCCCATCACACGTTCCATCTTTGTTTTCTCAAACATAACAGCAAAACAACTCTTTGATTTTTTTTCATCTTTCTTTTCCTCAATTTTCTGAGTAAAAACATGTCTAAATACCCTCACCCAAAACTGTGTGGATGATCAGCCTCATTTAATAAGTCAATCTGCTTTACCCATAATACTTCTACACCACTTCTCTTTGCTTTCAGAAGGAGTTTAGGGACTCATACTCCATTTTAGTAACACAGTAAGAAAAAAATCATTAGGAAAATAAATCTGCAGCTAAAGTGGGAAATATCTGACTCTAGACACCTGGCTAAACAGACATGTCTTCATCTTGTTACATACCTTTTTGCTCTCTTCCATTTCATGTTCAAACATGGCACTAAAAACCGGAGAACGAGCTACAAAGTGAAAGAAAAACAAACAGATAAGGCTATCACAGTGAAATCTCTTGGTTCTTTCCAGTCATGAGGGAGAGATCATTTTCTTTCCTATCCTACTGCTATAGGAAAGGTCTCTGCCTCAGCTTACATCAGAATTACAAAATTCCTCTCTTTATATATAACAATAAGTAACTAATACATAAAAGAAAATAAGAAACCACTACTTCCAAAATAACTTATCGTCTCTACTCCAACCATTCACATTTCAAGGAAATTACTTATATACGTTGGATGATAATGCTATGTTCTCTGTATAGATTTGGGGTTCAAATGGAAGGTCCCTTATGATCAAGCAGGGTGTTCTAATACCTATGTTTTTGTTGGAACTGACACCACACTTTCTGCACCTCCAGGGACCACACAGGAAGAAGGTCAAGAACTGGGCTCAATGGCATCCACTAACCAGATGAAGTGTATGTTCACCTATGGCAAGCTGTCTGTCTTTCTAAGCTATGCATTCTTAACAGAGATGATACTGCCGCAAAGAGGTAGGGGAAAAAAAACTTTAGATTTTATAATAATTTGTGTCCCTTTAAAGCACAACCCTACCTGATAAAATCTCCTTCCTTAGTATTTTATTTGTCTCATCAGGGAGAATTTAAATTTAGTTTTTCTCCTTAGAGGCAGGGATAATGAAGGTTGAGAAACAGTGTTCCAACTCATGCTCATTCTAGTCCAATGAACACCATGAAAAATAATAATCTCAACCATGAAAAGTAATAAAATGGCTAAGAACTCAAATTTGTTCATGTTGTCAAATAAATCAGGGGTTTTGGTGAAAGGTGTGATCTAACGATTACCTAAGAGTGAAGGAATGGACAAAATATATAGTAGAAGGGATTTGAGCTAACAGGGAACTGGAATTTTTGGCCTATAGTTTATGTCAGAAAGCACTAATTTTAGTTCTGCCATTTTCTTTTCTTTTCTTTTCTTTTTTTCTGAGACAAAATCTTGCTCTGTGGCCCAGGCTAGAGTGGAGTGCAGTGGCGTGATCTCAGCTCACTGCAATGTCTGCCTCCTGAGTTCAAGCGATTCTCCTACCTCAGCCTCCCAAGTAGCTGGGATTACAGGTGCCCACCACCACGCCTGGCTAATTTTTGTATTTTTAGTGGAGACGGGGTTTCACCATGTTGGCCAGGCTGGTCTCGAACTCCTGATCTCAAGTGATCTGCCCACCTCTGCCATCAAAAGTGCTGGGATTACAGGCATGAGCCACTGCACCCGGCCTAGCTCTGCCATTTTTCTAACCACATATTCTTGGGCAAATCATTTAACCCTCTGAACTTCAGTATTTTAATGTATACCAAAAGGATATTAATTCTCATTTTTCTTATTTCAGAAGGGTTATAGACTATACAGAGAACTAAATAAATATATTTCAGAAATTAAAGACTAAAGGCCTGGGGCTTTTCATAAAGAAGGAAGGGTCCAAAGCAACCAGGTATTGAGGGTCCTCGGTAAACAGACTGCAGCTGATGCAACAGGAATAAATGAAATCACTCAGGGAGAAAAAGTGGAATGAAAACGGAACTGAAGCAGATCCTCAGGGCTCACCAATGTATAAAGGGATGGGTGAGGAAGAAGTAAGGAGACCACTCATCAGAAGCAACCAGAGAACCAGGAGAGAGGAGTCCTAGTATATGAACTAAAGTCCTTCAAATTTAGCAACTAGTAGATCATGTAATTTTGAAAAACTGCTTTCATAGCATGGAGGTGAACTGAGGATAAGTGGGAGGAAAGAAGTAGAAAGTGAATATGCTAACTCAAGAAACTCAGCTCTGGGGAAAAGAGAGAGAGAGACAGAATACTAGAGGGAGAAGCTTGGAGCCTGTTTACAGGCTAAAGGTGAAGAGAAAATAACAGAGAGATACTGAAGATACTAGATAGATAGCAAGGGTATAACCGGTAGAGTAAGGTTTCTGAGAAGGCAAGATGGGATATAAAACAGAGCAGAGGTAGAAAAAAAGTCTGCTTTGTCCACGAGGAAGAACACCTCCACTGAGAATGCAGGTGAGGTGAGAAGCAAGAGATGAGGGAGTTCCTACATAAGGGCTTCCTTTTCTTTTGGAGGAAGTAGGCAAGGTAATCTTTTAGGAGTTTGGAAGGAGTTAAAGAGTGGTTAAGGTTTGAGACAGCTACAGTTAAGAAAGGGAGTTGCCTAAACATCTGTAGAAAAACTATTGGCGGTGTTGAGGGCCTAGCTAAGTGTGGAGACGCTAACCAAAGAGTTACAAACTTCCTTGAGTTTTGTTTTTCTTCCCCCCCGAGATGGAGTCTTGCTCTGTTGCCCAGGCTGGAGTGCAGTGGCATGATCTCCGCTCACTGCAACCTCCGCCTCCCAGGTTCAAGCGATTCTCCTATCTCAGCCACTGGAGTAGCTAGGATTACAGGCGCGTGCCACCATGCCCAGCTAAGTTTTGTATTTTTAGTAGAGATGGGGTTTCACTATGTTGACCAGGCTGGTCTCAAACTCCTGACCTCAGGTGATCCAGCCGCCTCCGCCTCCCAAAGTGCTGGGATTACAGGTATGAGCCACTGTGCCCGTGACTTCCTTGAGTATTACACAGTAACAGCCAGTTGTGAGAGGGTACAGGAAAATGTTTAGACTGAGGCAGTGTGAGGTTTTACCAGGTGTGTACTTTAGAATGACAGAGCTGAGGGTCTTAGTAAGAAGTGTGTTACTTGAAGGTTCACGCAATTTCCTGTTGGGTCTTATGGTCTTAAGAGAAGTATGCGATGGTTTTTACCCTTCCCTGGGTGGTGAAGTCAGTCCTTCCTCATCAGTTCCTCCTTGGTGTCAGTCTCCCGGGTCTTGAAAACCATGGGTCTATTACAGCAAGAACTGATCCTCCATGTCAGGGGCAAGAGTTTAATTCTTCTAGCATGTTTAAATTGAAGAGAGGGCTAACCCCTTCAGGGCTGAGGACTAGCTAGATGGCATTTAGTCCTGAGTATAGAATCCTCTCCATTACATCCTAAGCCCTTATCTAGGGGTTGATACCTGCTCTTAACTGGTGCTCTAACATCTATCTTCTAGGGGCAAAGGCATTCAATACCTTTGTACATCATCATCCATTCCTTGAAAATGATGGCCTAGGTCCACTACAGAGAGGAAAAACAGAAATCTCATTTTAGAGAGCAGCTTTTTTGGTTCTGAGCATTAATGTTACCAGAATACAAAGGTATATTTAGCTGTAGTTTGTTTTGTAGTTGAGTTCAAAAAGTTGAAGTTGTTCAAAAGGTGATTATGCAATCACTTGTTTTTCCTTAATTCACCAAAACTATAAAATTCCTCATGAATAAATACCAACCTGCTAAGATAGCTTTGTGAGCCTGGAATTCCTGGCCAGCAACACACAAGCAGCAGTCTGTGAACCGGGAATTCTCCCACAGTCCTCCTAACTCATCTGCCAACCGGCACTCAGGAACCTTTACCATGTTCATGGTATTCTGGCCAGAAATGTTGACAGAATCTTGCACAACACTCACCTGTGAAAGACAAGGAAACACAAGCCAAGCTTTTGTTACCAGGAATTTTTTTGCCAGCAGATAGAGAGATGACTTTTACCTCATTGCTGTAGTACATTCAGATACTAATATTAATCATATTATCTTGAAACCACCTCCACAAATCAAGGTTTTATCCCAGGATCAAGTAACTCCTTTTCTGTCACAATCAGACTTATTCTATACCATCTCAGGACAATGGGGAGAGAGCCCCACAAACCTCCTTCTCCTCCAGTTTCTAATAAGCTTCACCTCCCTCAGACTACAAACCTGGGCAAAGGTGCCAGAGACACAAAACTGACAGAAACAAACGTTAAACCTCAAGTATTTACCTTATTCTGCCTTAAGTTCAATACAAAGAACTCCTACAAATATTACCATTTAAATTAAACTCTAGAGACAAGAATCTAATCCCCCCCCCCTTTTTTTTTTCCGAGACAGAGTCTCACTATGTCTCCCAGGATGGAGTCCAGTAGCATGATCATGGCTCACTGCAGCATTGACCTCCCAGGCTCAAGCGATCCTTCTACTCCAGCCTCTGGAGTAGCTGGGACTACAGGCACATGCCACTACACCTGACTAATTTTTTATTTGTTTACAGAGACAAGGTCTCACTATGTTGTCCAGGCTGATCTTGAACTCCCGGGCTCAAAGCGATCCTCCATCCTTGGCCTCCCAAAGTGCTAAGACTATAGGCGTGAGCCACTGCACCTCGCCAAATATAATAACTGAAGCCTATAAGAAGTTATTTTAATTAGGTCGAGAACATGCACATAAAATGCATCTTCTACAAGGCCTAGTAAATAACTGGCACTTCTTCAAAAATATTAGTTTCATGAACATGACATTACTGACCCACTGTCAGTAAGGACCAGACTTGGAAGATCTTTCTAGTGGTGAAAACTGGGTGAGTATCCCATACTTTTATACCTTTAGTCAGTTGTGATAATGACATACAAGATGCCTGGCTGTAGCTACACATGCACTTATAGCTTTGGAAGATAATGATGACAATAGGTTTATAAAGGAATCCCAACTTCCCACTATGGCTTCAGCAGAAGCATGTTTTAACTAGTTCAGCCTAGATAAAAAACCAAGTTAACTTCTAGGTGAGTCAGTGAAACTCAGAAAAATCTGTGAGGGTACCAAATACAAGGATTTATAAATCATACAACATCATAAAATAAATGTCAGTTGCCAAACTGTAGATAGGATGCCGCAGATCAGTCGTCTGCCTAACAATCATTGTTATGCTTCATCTCCTATATCACATTGTTAGAAAAGTTAAATTCAAAGCAGAACTCACAAACCTTGAGAATTAGCTCCCCACTCTTGCTATTCCTAACACTAAGATGAGAAAGACAGCTTAGGAACATCCTTAATGACCCAGGTTTATTTTAACCTTCAAGATGCAAGTTATCCCTTAAACGCAGTCATAAACCCAGAGGCAAAGTTAATGACCTGTAGTTCCTTCTGTGCAGGATGAGATATTTACTATCAGGTCAAGAAATTTATTCATTTGTTTAAAACTAGCCGTTATGGTCTTGGGCAGTGAAGCAGCCAAGTTAACCACTTATGAATATACTTGGCATTAGTATCACATTTATCAGAGCCAGATTATAACATTATTTTAATAGCCTAGGACCCAGTACGAACCATTCCACAGAGATTCTCTCTTGTCCTTTGTAAGATCTCTAATTTGCTTCTGCCACTTTCTCATATTAATACCCTCACTTCTTTGATATAACATTAACACCAAAAGAAGAAGTTGCCTGTTCTCAGTTATAGCTCCAAAATACTAATTTAAAAAAAAAAAAAAAAAAAGGAAAAGACCAATTAAATCTGACTTTCTCACAGGGAAAGGCAGGAATCTCCTGGGATGGCCAATGAAGGGAATGGAGAATGCTTTTGGCACTGGGTTCCTGGTTTGAATTAAACCAGGTTGACAGGAGCCCAAAGTCATCAACACTTGATGGCAATTTAGTAGACTGGGTGAAATGAATTGGCAAGAAGAGCTAAACTGAATTTCACATAATCAAACCATGGTTACCAGTGGGCCTTCTGCTGGTTAGATGCACATGTGGTAATGAGTGAGGCCCAAAGGCTGTGACATCTCTCACTGGGGCAATTCTTCTCGGACTCAGACAGGAACACAGCAGAAAAGAGAATGTACCTTTATTGTCTGAGCCAGGCTTGTTCTGTGGATATATAGATGCCTGGAATCTCCAGAGCTCTGAATGTCTGGCACCTCTCACCAACATTAAATACGCTTAATTAAAAATAAATTCTAAATGGCATTCACAAATGAGTCTTCAGAGCCCAAACTTTTAACTTAGAAAGGGATTGTTTTCCCCTGCAAATGATGATGCTAAAATGAGACCATTTTGAGAAAAACTAAAGATTTTTTTTTTAATGCCTATAAAGTTGACTGTGGAGACTCATTCAGAACTGCAGCTGTGAAGATGACGTGACTGTGACATTTATGTCATCTTATAAATGACTGCATGAAAATGTCTCAGGAAGGCTGTATAATCTCCTTAACTTCAACTTGTAAAAGGGTCTCACTTTTAAAGTCAATCCTTTTCTTAAAAAAACAAATTTCATAAAAAACTAAAGATTGTGCCAATTCTTGTACATTTCATCTATACATAAAGTAAAACCCAGGGAAATACACTTTTTAACTTCTATATAATTAAAACAATCTAGGAAAAACAGACACTGCCTACAAATTATTTACAGCAGGAACAATATTTCTACTAGCAAAAGATTAGCAACAACCTAAATGTCCATCAACAAAAGAATGAATAAATTATACATTCACACAAGACTATTATATACAGCACTAAATATGGATGAAGTAGTTATATAAATTTTAGAAACATAATGTGAAAAAAGCAAGTCTTAGATGACTACATACAGCCTGACACCATTTTTATAAAGCTCCAAAACAAGTAACCTAAACAATGTATTATTCAGACATACAAATAATAAACAAGTACATGATAACATAAAATTCAAAATAGTTATTTATCATCCTCTGAGTGGGGAAACAAATCTTAGGGATTAGGGAGAAGCATTACAGGTTAGTTTCAAGTTATTGGTCATATTTTTAGGTTGAGTGGTAGGTTTAGTATATTCTCATGCTTTATAACCTACAATGATATTACCTATTGAATCACCATTTGTGTAGTCAAGAACAACCCAATAATGGTATTTTCATCCAGTACAAATAATATATTCAAATAATCCAATAATTAAAGGATAAAAAGGTAAAAATGAATAGATTCACTTATTTAAAATTTGGCAACAATACCTATTCCCAGGCTATGGGGTGTGGGGGGGTGTGTGTGTATAAAACAATTAGTTTTAAAATTTACAGACAGGGTCTCCCTCTGTTGCCCAGGCTGGAGTGTGGTGGTACTGGTGGGATGACAGCTCACTGTAGCCTCCAACTCCTGGGCTTAAGCAATCCTCCTGCTTCACCCTCCCAAGTAGCTAGGACTACAGGCATGTGCCATCATACCTGGCTAATTTTTAAATTTTTTGTAGAGACAGGGTCTCACTATGTTGCCCAGGCTGGTCTCAAACTTCTGGGATAGAATGATCCTCCTACCTTGGCCTCCCAAAGTGCTAGGATACAGGTTATAGTGAGCTATGATTAAGCAACTTCACTGCAGCCTGGGCATGATCAAGATCCCATCTCTTAAAAAATTAAAATAAAGTTAATTAGTGTCTGGATATTTCACATTTATATGTTATTTCATATTTCATCTTTAGTTGCAACATCACAAAGAAGTACTGGGATTATCTACCTGTCAAAGGCATATATGGTAAAGCTGGAATACAATGCATCTTTACTGCTAATGGTTATTTGTTTTCAATATAAATAATTGGAGAAAAGGGTCAACAGAAGCTGAAATATTTCATAAAGATTTTCTGTGGACCAAATTATTAAAAAGAAAATTTTAAATGGAATTTAAACATGCTTTCATGTCTCTATTTGTTTATTTATTTTACAGACAGGGACTAATTATGTTGCCCAGGTAGGAGTGCAAAGGCTATTCACAAGCACGATCATAGCACACCACAACCTCGAACTCCTGGGTTCAAGTGATCCTCTTGCATCAGCCTCAGGAGTAGCTGGGAACCACAGGCGTGCGCTACCACTCCTGGCTCTCACGTCTCTCTCTTTTATTACCAAAGTAAATGCTCTGTCAAGAAAACTTGGGACCCGAGTTTGTGCTTCCTTGGGTGAATGGCATTCAGCTCCACTTAGTGTAGTGCAGAGGACTAGAGATAGAAAATAGGGAGCTGACATGACCCTCACACTAGTTTGCTGCACAATGTTAGGAAAAATTACCTGACTCCCTAGGCACTGCTTCTCTCCCCTTGTAACATGAAATGAAGAAAACAGAACTGGCCGGGCGCGGTGGCTCAAGCCTGTAATCCCAGCACTTTGGGAGGCCGAGACGGGAGGATCACGAGGTCAGGAGATCGAGACCATCCTGGCTAA